CGCAGACGAACCCATGTGTTGCCTGATGATTAAAGTCGCACCACGTCAACACAAACGATCTATTCAAGACGCCAAAATTATTCAGAGCTTATGAAAATGGAGACTTTTAAATATTTTATATGAATTATAACCATATAATAATAAAGATTAAAATTAGAAGTAGGGCTCGAGTATCACGTGAAAGTAATAGTAAGAACTAGTTTAACCCCGGGGGGGGGGGATTGCATCGGCGGTCGTGCCTGCATGGTGACGTTGTTGAGTTGAAAGAGGCGCTGGAATTTGAGAAGTGGACCAGGCCCACCCTTCACCTCTTTATCGGCCCCACCGCAAAAGCAGTCTCGGGGTGATGGGCCCCAGAGTCATGTTGAGCGGAGGAAAATAGGCCCACTAGCTTGTCAAACCTCGCTTCGCAAACGCGTTTGGAAGGGCGTGCACCGGATTCTCTTGGAACGTTGAAACCTTGGGAGAAGGAGAGAAGCCTGAGAGGCCGAGGAGGTTTAATCTGAACCCTTCAAATTTAATATTTTTTATTTTTAATTTATATTTTTAAGATAAAAAATATATAAAAATTTTAAAGTTTTTTAATAAATATACTTATCAATTTAATAATCCAGATTTAATATAAATTGTATAAATTTGGTATTAAATTTTTTTTAATAAATTTACTATTCTGATCAGAATATATTTAAATTGTTCAAAATATGTTTAAAAAGTTAATTTAATTTTTTATATTAAACTTAGAGTATATATATTAAATCTAGACTGTTAAATTTATGAGTATATTTATTAAATTTTTTTATAATTTTTATATATTTTTATTTCAAAAATATAAATTAAAAATAAAAAATAAAAATTTTAAATTTAAATTGTTGAAATTTATCTCTGCCTCAACGGAGAGGCAGAAGGCTTCTCTCAAAGGAGAGAAGCGGACTTCGACACCTTGCGTCCTGCTCATGTAGCGGTTTTCCTTATCCTGTCATTTTGTGGAATAGCTAATATATTGTTAATATTGTTGCTATGGTTGTGATTTTGACGAGTCTATTAAAACTATAATTTATGTAGGTGGATTCTTTTGACATCTTCTGGTGCTGTGCGGCTGTATAATTTATGTAGGCATCATCACGGTATTTTATTTATACGGAATGACGGGAGAATGAGATGTAGTTGGAGTCATGAACCTTGAAATAGAAGAATAGAGCGAAGGGACACTCAACAGAAGAGAAGTCCCGTGATGAGAGATGAGGTGGTGCAGAGAAGAACGTGGTTAGGTACGGATTTGATGTGGAAAAGGCCTCCTGGTAAGTAAGCCATAGTAATTAAGTCATCACGCAGGATAATGCAACAAACGATTCCTGAATTCTGATGATGCAACGGATTCGACAAGCACGGGCCAAGAAAACGAACGTCCAGAATAGTGAACACTGAACAGGTGCGATTACGTTGTAGATCTGGAGGAGGGATTTAATTGAGGAAGCGTATCAAGGGAGTTGAAGTTGGCGATGGGTGGAGGTGACAGCCAAGGAATTGATATGTAAATTGACGCCACATAACATCCCAATCTCAAATGACTGACTCTTCTGGTATTTCCCCGTTGGGCGGTGGGAACGCCATCCTCTCCGTCTACCGTTCTAATTTATCCTCATGTGTCAAATCAACAAAGCCCTGCAAATAATTTATTACCCTCTATTTCGTTTTAAAACGTTGGGATTTAAAAGTTTGAATACGAACATTTAAAAAAAAAAATCACAGCAAAACTGAAAACACTATTTCCTGCCCCCCTATTAAAGTTTTAAATCCCTACTTGGTATTTATTCAATATTCAAATATATAAAAAAAATTGCATTCCATCAAAATCAATCACATACCCTAAAAGAAACATAGCAAATTTATCCAAATAAATACATAAAAATTTTTAATAAGAGATAATCTAATATGCAAAAATAATGTTTAAATATATGAAAGAAAATTATATTTTATTTAAAAGTAGGAAAAAATAAAAAACACGACATATGCATCCAAAATGTATGTATATAAGAAATTTTAACAAGAGATACTCAAATATGCAATAGCAATATTTGAATATATGAAAAAAAATTGCATTTCACTAATGAGCAATTGTATATCATGAAACAACCATCACACGTGTCTAGATGTGTTTATCAAAGATGTAACAAAAGATATTTGAATATGCAAAAGCCATTCAAATATATCAAAGAAACAATGTATATGCTTCAAACATGCTTCAAAACTCAATAAATTAACATCAAGAGACTTTGTTTGATATATTAATACTGAAGGACTTTATACTACTTATCAACATTTAATTATTGACAATGAAGGACCTTATGCAATTTTTGTTTTTCCAATCATTTAGGGTATTTATGTCATTTAACCTTCATCAATTATTGACAGTGAATGACTTTATTTTCAAGACATTCTCAAGTCCTCCTTAGCAATTAGATTTTTCGTGGATTTTTTTTTTAGCAATTTTTCCTAAAAACTACTATAAAATTAGTTAACGTCATCCTATAATTAAAACTGGAGGGGATATTGACTACTCTTGTATTGTTAAACCCGCTTTCAATTGTGCATTCACTAGATTAAAGTTGTTTCAGCAAATAAGTGTATAAAAGAGAAGGCATGAATAAAAATTGCTATGGATTTCTGAAAAAACAAACAAGTGAGACTACTTTTTTTTTTTACAGAAAAAAAAGATTTACATTTTGAGATAGATGGAGTGTTTTTTTCTACACGCTTGCACATGTAAAAAAAAAAAGATTTACATTTTGAGATAGATGGAGTGTTTTTTTCTACACGCTTGCACATGCACATGGACTACAAAAGTAAAACTCTAAGCATGAAATTCGCTTTGATTTAAGAGTTACGGGGGTTGCTGGTGACCATTGCAACAGAATTGTCTGTGAAGGAATCAGAGGCAACCCAGAAGTATCATCCGGGGCGCTGAATAAAGAAATTAAGTTGACAAATGCGTTTATAGTTGATTGGGAGAGAGGACATGCCAAACTGTACAAACTTTGCTGAGGAAGCGTGGAACCCACAATCCACGTCACGGTCTACAATTTCGTAGGGCAGCCCACTAAGCTGGTTTCTAACTCTCTTCGTTCATTGGGCCGATGGATTGATAGGCAGCCCATCTAGCCCACTCACAGTGGCTTTTGTGACATGGGCATGTGGTAAAGGGCTTGTTACATCCCGAATGATATCAAGGTGCAGTAGTGGTTTTTTCATATTTTTTATACTAAAAAAAAAAAAATAACAAAGAGAGAAAGGCACCCACATTAATACAAAAGAATGTATATCTGTAATACATCTATCTCTCAAATATATAAACAAAAATCAGGTGGGAGTCATGACTCATGACTCATGGGTATAGTAAAAAAAAATTGGGAAAAGTTTGTAATTGACAAATGACGCATACTTATTATAAGCTAAATAGGAGTATTTTATAGTGCATTGATTTTCAGCTTTTTATAATTTCTCCAATAAAATTATAAACTGCGGTTGATATTATGATCGGGAATTATATAATGGGGAATCCCCATCCCCTGAGTGGCGTGGTACGCACACATTTCACATCACAAGTTGACGTGGATCGCGTAAATGGGGCTTTTTTCAAAGGAAACGATATACTAAGAACACAAGGATTGAAGGGTATCGTCAACGGAATGAACTGAACCCACTTCATTTCCATACATGAACAACAATACTTAAACGCCCGCCACCTGTATCGTTGATTTTCGTGTAAGCCGACCAACCCCGTTTGGTCGTTTCCTATATTCTTTTCACGTGCGTTTCTCTGCCGTGCCGGTCCGTCCCACCCCAATGCTCCTCTTGATTTGATTCCAGCGTTCGCGTGGAAAATTAACGTGTTTAATCCTATATATTTAATATATTTATTTTTAATTAAATCAACATATATAATTTTTTTATGGATGATTTATGTTTAATAAAATATCATTATTAATTTTATTAATATATTAAAATTTACGTGTCATGATTGGGTTAGATATAAAACTAAGGCTAAAATATACTTATTGTGCTCTTATTTTATGTGAGGTTTTAATTTGATCTTTTAATTTTATAAAATATCTTTTAATCTTTTAACTTTAACATCGTTAATTTCAAATGATTATTTTGTATCAGTCATTATTATTTTTAAAAAATAAAACTTAATATGTCAATATTTAAAAATTTAATGTAAAAAATGTATTGAAATAAAACTAACAGTATCAAGATTAAAGAATTAAAAATATATTTTATAAAATTAAAAAATTAAAATAAAATATTATGTAAAATTAAAAAATTAAATGTATACTCTAAAGTAAAACAAAAGTCTTGCTCTTTAAAAGAAAATTAATTTTAATTTATGGCGTTCAAAGTCAATGACAAATGCAAAAAATCAAATGCATAAAGCCAGTGTGCCCTGTGTTGTGAGACGTACTGTATTATTTATTTCAAGCCCTCTTCTCGTTACATTTATATTTTGAATACAATATATTTTAATTGCGTGGGATTGCTTGTTTATCAAAAATAAGAAAACTGGTGTTTGCAGCTGCAATTTTAATTTGAGAGAATTATATTAAAAATTTATATAAAAAAATTAATTATTATAAAATTTAGTGATAATTGAATTAAGAAAATTGATAACGGATTGTGTTATCAATCTCTTTAATTTAATTATTAGTGAATCTTATAATAATAAAATTTTTGTGTGTAAGATCTGAATGCAAGTTTTCCTTCTAATTTTTTAATATTGGTTTGAATTTATAATAGGTTAGTATTTAAAACATAACCCTTTTCGAATAACATAATCTGAAAGTTTCTTAACACATTAGTGATCAAGAAATTTTTTTTTTTTTAAAAAAAGCCAGACAAGAAAGCGACATTTGAGTTGCTTGCGAGGCTTCACAGATTACGTCAGGAAATCATCTCGGAAAATAAAATAGGAAGAAGCAAAGATTAGACTGGACGGAGTCGCTGCCTTATGGAGAAAGGAAAAAGCAAAGAAACTTCGGGGGAAAGAAGACGCCCTCGTGCATCTATCTCTATATATATCCCAGTCGTAGCTATAAAGAACTCAATGTATCCGAGTTAAGAAGACCGAGAGAGAATCAGAAATGCGGTCAGGAGGGTGCAAGGATCACCCAGATAACAAGCAAATGCCTGGTGTTTGCTCTTCTTGCTTGAGAGAAAAACTGTCGCGGCTCGAACTAATTCAATGCAACCGGGAACCACTTTCTCCTCCTAATTCAGCTCCTACTTTTGATTCTTGTGCGGAAGCCGCCTCGTCAAATTACGCGTCTCAAGCAGTTTATCATCGTCGACGCCACCGTCGAAATGCATCGGATGTGATGAATTCGGTGTCTTATTCCGAGCTGGGTTTCGATTATGGGCTCAAGAAGAGTAGATCGATTGCCTTTGCTTCAATAGACGAAGTCGGTGCTAGTTATGCAGGGAAGAAATATGGATTTTGGTCCAAGCTCCTTAAATTGACGAGAAAGGGTACCAAGAATGTCTCGAAGCACTCCACGACCACACGGGAGGGACGGGGCTAGTGATCGTTATTTGTTGGCCTTAAGGTTATGAATGAACCCAGAATCATAGACGTAGGAACATTAGGTGTTTGAAGTTTTTGAGACAAAATCAGAAATGGAGATCACTCAATGATACAAAAGATTTGAAGATGATGTATAGCTAAGAATTACCAGCTTTCGCTGGAGGCTTTTAGAACAATTTTTGCTTCATTGAAAAGAAAATGTTAGTAAATAGTCAATTTGCAGGTGCAGCTTGCTTCCTTCTAGGCCATGGCGCCTACCGCTTACAGTTACCATACTTCAAATTAATTAACTTGTAAGGGCTTGTCGCAATATAAAAGGTTATTAATATATTCTAACAATTGGATATTTTTTTATCCTCAATCTCATTAATGAGTCTTCTAAAAATTGTAGAAAGGACTAAGGAGTGAAATTGGAATCTTATGCTTTTTTGACAAATTTAAGAATGCAATATCACCTTGAGATACATGAAAATGTTGTAAACACTATTCGTCTAAGAAAACGGGTCAGAAACAGTATTGAATAATTGGATTGTACAACTCTACGAACTGTCAGGAGTCAGGACTCTAGCTAACTCCGTTCCCATTCTAAAAGAGTCACAACCAAAAATCGACGAATAGAACGATTTAGAAAATATTAACAAGCTAGGGCAGCTTTCAGTGAAGAATGACCCATTCAAGAATTTCATTATCTACAACTACACCAGGTTTAAATGTTACAAAACAAGTGGTAATGTCATGAGCAAGACATAAATGTCGCTGCTGAACACATCATCGGCCAAATCAATTCATGAATCCACAGCAAGCAGAACAGCTGCAGCTAAAATTTAGGTATGTTACCTTATGTGACGTCTACCATTTGTATCTCATTGGCTTGTAACGTACACCAGTTGTATTTTGTTGGGGAATCAACTACCAAAAAACCTCTGTACATGATTCCATGGACTTGCATTCTCAATTCTAAGATGTAAAAATACTTCCCAATTCATGCCTAGAAGATGAATGTCATCGTCTAGAAGGGCCAGAAATATTGGACTCCATCTCATAATCCTCGTCATGGTATAATTCGTGGTCCAGAGAAGGCCGTTTTAGCCTTTGAAAAATCTCATCAAGGGACTCCGATGAGGAAACACGAGACATTTTATTTTCCTCTGTTTGCCGTAAGGGCATAAATTTCTTGGTTCCTATGTTAGCCTTGAAAGTTTGAAATCCAGTTTTCATTGTTTGCCATGTTGAAGCCAAACCCAATGGCGGCAGTCTAGTTGTATTATTAGATTTAGCATTGCCTCCGTCAAGTAAGGAAACCTTAGCAGAGGTTATGATTTTCTCTTCTGGCTTAGTTTTAGATGCTTGCCCACTCTGCTCTCTCATAGCTGTATACTTGTTGCTGATAGCTTCCCTACTCGATCTCCTTGTATCTTCCTTCAACGTTTTAGAAAGACTTCCATTCATTTCCTCATTAGTTACATTGGACTTTGCCTTCATTTCAGACCCGTTCCTCCCCTGAACAATCAGGTTATAACATGAGTAGACTGTATAAACCACAGGGAAAAAAATTGCAGTAGTTGCACCCATGCCAGATTTTGAGCTCACGACATTCACTGAAATGATGCTCCTTTAGTTATTAATGTTGAAGGAAAGAAGAAAAATATGAGATTTTACTTTTTGTTTTCGGAGGTGTATCCACATACCATGAAATTGTCACCAGATTCAATATCTATGTTGTTGAAATTCCTCGCCAACGGGACAACTTGCTCGCCTACTCTGTGCCCTTGTTCAAGCCAAGACCGTTCTACAAATAATAGAATTTATAATCAAGCACAATTATCAAAAGATTACATATAAATGTGCAAGCACACATTGAAGAACAAGGAGACAACTACATTGGGCGTGACGCAGTGAAACTAAATTTATTTTATTTGATTTTTTGATAAAAAATAAATTTATTATAGTAATATTAATAATTAATGACAATGAAATACTGACTTGTATACCTTTTTGTAAGATAATTAATCCCGATGGATCAAAACCGTCCAAATCTTCAGCTTCAGTTTTGAAGATATATCTCTTCCAGCTCCCAAGAAAATCAAAAACCCGGTCAAAGAAGTTGCTCGCAACCAAAAGGGTGTATATAACCATAATAAGTGGATATATCTTGTTAAACTTGTTCCCAAAGAATGGGACAGCTTTATCAATGTTCCCCATTCGCTGCAATCAAAGTAACATAATGCACCGAAATTAAAAATAAAAAAAAAGATTCATAAAAGAAACTGAACAAAAATATCCTGTTGCATACTTACTTACAGCTTAGTCAAGCTCGCTGAAATAATTAATGAAAAGATACTTCATAAAATAATTAAGTAAAAGGATTTTATATACAAGACAACAAAGTCATAAGATGCTTAAAAGATTTTTTTTGATCTAGGACAATAAAGTAAATATAATTAAGGAAAGAAGAAAGAAAAGCTCCAGGCTTTTCAATTATGGTATGATGAAGAAATAGTTGCCTGCATTTTTATCATTCCTTAAGATATGTATTGCACTCAACCATGACTTGAAATGTCAATTTCTAGAATAACGGTAAGTTTTTTTTTTTTTTTATAAATATATCATGGGAAAAGATAATGGAGTCCTTGCCAATATTGGATTCAACATGAATAGAATTACAGCAAGTTTTTTTTTTATGACATAAATATATCATGGAAAAAGACAATGGAGTCCTTGCCAATATTGGATTCAACCAACTAATGTTTCCATCAGTCCAGTGCATGAAGTTAACATATGGCCACATCTATTCAAGAATCTCCATGAGATAAATGAACAATTACCTTTTCAAATATAGTTTCGTGAGAACCAAGACGAATAAGATTAAGAAAGTTGTATGAGATAGGGGGAGCATATCGAGCAACCATCCTGTGAACAAACAAGTACAGGATATAAATGCTTTTCACAAGATAGCCATTAGTGATTCAAGAAGCGGGGGAAAAAAAGCCACTTACGAGCATATCATAAGCAAGTTAACTGCGCTAGACTGTCTTGGTGTCAATGAGTAAAACATTAACATTCCAATTTTGAACAAGGAATAGTATGTGCAGACGCACATGTACATGAGAGGAATAAAAGCAAACACCTGGACAAGAAATTGAATATATGAGACCACATGCACTATCCCAAAAGGCATGCGCGCACAGAAGAAAACAAAAAAAATCCCTGCTAAAAAAGAAAAGAAAAGAAAAGGAGGTGGGGAGTGGGGCAGTAATACTACCACCCCACTGATAATGTGAACAGTCACTTCATAATGGTGAAATGGGAGCCACAAGTATGTCGTTGTAGCTTTGTCCGTCGATTCTAGAAGGACAGACATCACAATGTTGAGATGAGATTCAAAGTGAAATTTGTCTTCCTTTTTACTAAATATATTTATATTAAATTAATTATCATTTATTTCATCAATATCTTAGCAACTTAGAATTTTACAGGCAGTAATTACAGCCTTTAAAACTTGGACGTAGGTATGTATGGTTTGCTAGAGAGACAGGACAAACCACATTTAATAAATTTAAAGAAGTAACCAACTTCTTTTCTTAATATGTGTGAGGTTGTCTAGAGCTTTTGAGAAAAATTAAAATTTTCCTCAAATTCTCCAATTCTTTTCAAGATTCTAAAAATGAAATCTTCAGGGAAGACTGCAAAAATATATGCAGCATCTCAATGTTACCATGTAATAAAAACAATCGACCTCTTAGAAACATATTCTACCTGCACAAGAACCTCCTGCATTCCGACAGATTTAATAAGAATTGAGAAAAGTGATAGGTCAACACTAGGTAGCAGAGTAGCCTCTGCTAAGAGAATTGCGACAGAAATGATGCCAAGAATAACAGCCAAGCCTTTCTCAACCTGCTCCCTTAGAATGCACCGCCAGAAAAATTCTGCAAAGAATCATAAATTCATAATCTTTAAAGAACCATAAGCCATATGCTTGTAAGTATTCAGTACATTTAAAAGGAAGGAAATGTGGAGATAGCCTGCACGATAAAATAATACAATATTGAACGCAGGAAATAAAACTAAGTTAAAATCTGGAACTGACATGACCCAGCACAAGCTGAGGTCAATTTCATTGGTTTTTTTTTTTTTTTCGGTCAGGGTCAATTTCATTGGTTATACACGTATATTATGCAAAAAGAAACCAAAAAAAAAAAATACATACGATTGATACAGACATTATTTACAAAGGAAGCACCTGAGCAGCAAATAAGATACGGTGGACTATTTTGCAATGATATCTTAACATACAGAAAGGGTAAAACAGATATGTAAAGCTAAGTCATAAAACTAGCTTTACAAGTCAGGAACAACAAAAACTATTCCGTATGCAATAAAAAGATGATCGGAAAAGTTAGAAACAAATGAGTTAACAATAATGATAGCTACCTAAAGTGTCAAGAAGTGACCCCCACTTGCCAATTCGAGCAGGTCTAAGGCTTGAAACGTATTTCCTGAAAAGACAACGTATAACATGGTTCAAGGTAGATGGAACAAACCAAAGTACATAGTAATAAAGGTATTAAAATGGACAAAAGGTGAATTTTAAGTGTACCATCCTATAGAATTCCGACGTTCATAGTTCTTAATTGTATCTTCTAGTTTAAGGGCTTCCAGCACGCAAGCCATATACTCGCTGCAAAAGGAACAATAGATCAAATATTGTGTGCTTTTGTTTGACAAAACACTACAGCAAAATAACCGAGCTTCCATATAAACCTAATCACCAGACTCTTACACTGGGGGAAAACATCAATGAAAAGAAGTTGATTTGAGTTTTTATTATATTCATGGCACTAATGGATTATATGAGTGCTCAGACATTAGACTACTCAAAATAGTTTCTTTTTGTAACTTAATATCTTCAGTGCTCATTCAGTAAGAGGCAGGAAGAAATCTATTCCTTCATTAAGCTGCATTAGAAGGACAGTTTTTACAAGATCCTTCAATATAGTTTATTTTTGTTAATTAGAGCAAAAAATAAGAACATTCATTAGTAATTTAGTCCAAATAAAAGATCATCTTTAAAAGTAAAATAACCAATTAAGCATACGTTGGAGATGTTCCATAAAGAGAAAGAGCAAGTTGTTTATTACTAACATCAGGAACAAACCACCCAAAAAAGGTTAAAAATATCCCTATATTAGGGCTAAATCCAAGTGAGAAGAATGCAAACATTGAAGTTACCGTTTACAACAGCTGTAAAAGAATCACCATTTCAAGCAGAAAAGCCATCTACAAGACCATCATTGGCTTACCTTTTATACCTGTAGTATTCCTCACGGGCTCCCCGA